GTTGTTGCTGCTGCAGCTGCTGCCGCTGCTGCTGCTGCTGTTGTTGTTGCTGTTTATATAATCCTGCAGCAGATTACTCCCCTCTGCTGCTGCTGTTCCTGCTGCTGCTGCCCTGCTGGCAGCAGCTGCTGCTGCTGCTGCTGCGCCCAGTGGAAGCGCGCAACGCCAGCAGCGGCAGAGGCCGAAGCAGCAGCTGCAGCAGTTACTACTACTGCTGCTGCTGCTGCTGCTGCTGCTATTCCTCCTCCCCCTAAAGCTGCTGCTACTATGCTGCCTGTACACCCCACGGAGTCATGAATCGCGGCACGGTCAAAAGCCGCTGCAGCTGCTGGCGTGCAGCTGCTGCTGCAGCAGCTGCTGCTGCTGCCGCTGCTGCTGCTGCCGCCACGACTAACGCTGCTGCTGCAGGAAAGACAGAGTTATAAACAAAGGACCACGAGTGCCTTATCAAAAAGGACGAGGTGGTAGCAGTTGCTGCTGGCAGCAGCAACCGCAGCAGCTGCAGCCGCCGCCGCGGCCGCTGCTGCTGCTGTTGCTGCTGCTGCTGCGGGTCTCTTTGGGGCGCTGCTGCAGTGGTAGGTGATTTTTGTATTGCATAAATGAGATGAAAACAGCAAAACCCAATCGAAGGGTCAGGGCAGCTGCACAGCAGCAGCAGCAACAGCCGCCGCAGCAGCAGCAGCAGCAGCAACGGGTCTGCTGCAGCAGCAGCAGCAGCAGCCACCGTGAGTCTAGCAGCAGCAGCCGTTGAGGCGTCCCTGCAGCAGCAATTGTTTTACAGTTTATTTTTCTTTTAAACTCTTTAAAAAGCAATAATAAACGCATGCATACGCTACAAACACCGCTAGTTTAGCTGTACATACACCCCAGCATACACACACCCCCAAACCCTGCCGCTGGTGACCTTGGGGGGACGCAGCAGGCCTCCAGCAACCCTCAACCCTAAACCCTAGACCCTAAACCCTAAACCCTAAACCCTCGCTAGACACTCCTCTGAGCTGCATGATGCTGTGTACTAGCTGCTGCAGCAGCAACTGCTACTCCTGCTGCTTCTGGGGTC